AACGGCCTTTTCTCTTTCCTCACCCTTCTTGACCTCTCTGCAGATGTTTCTCCCCAGGTAGAAAGTACAGATCATTTTATTCTTTGTACTTTTATCACCAGCATCTAGTACAGCACATGAAACATTGCTTGTTCAATTGTTTATTCGTGTCCAACTCTTTGTGACCCTGAGGATCATAGCACGTCAATACTGTCCATGGGGTTTTCTTGGCAAAGACACTGGAGTGGTCTGCCATTTCCTTCTCCAGGGGATTAAGGCAAAAAGAGGGTAAGTGACTTGTCCAAGGCCACAAAGCTAATGAGTATATGAGGCTGAATTTGAATTCAGGTCTTCCTGGCCTAGTGCTCTATCCACTGAGCCATCTGGCTAGCTCTAGCTGTTATTGTGGAACATAGTAAGCCCTTAATAAACACTTGTTGGTTGAATAATTGTGTGATGGGTTCCAATTGCTGGGAGCAGAAAAGAGCTTCCTTAGGCAAAATGAACACGTTGAGGAGCTATAAGAGACAATTCCTTACGCAAACCCTACCGAGTGAATGACTATGAGTGAGACCATTCAGTCTCTGGGGAAGGAGTCCTCCTCTGCAGTGGTGGATATTTTTCTATGAGTTCTGCTGAAAGTTCCGTTTGTTTTCTTTGACCAATAAGTCAACTATATTTTCCTCCTCATTTAAGCTTTGCGAACTCTGAGCTTGTGAAGGGAACAGGTAGCAATTTTGGGAGCAGCCAGGTGGAGCACTGGGCCCGGAGTCAGGAAGATTCATCTTCCTAAGTTCAAAGCTGACCTCAGACATTTACTAGCTGTGTGACCCTGGGCAAGTCACTTAACTCTATTTGCCTCAGTTTCCTCATCTGTAAAATGAGTTGGAGAAGGAAATGGCAAACCACTCCAGTATCTCTGCCACAAAAACCCCAAATGGGTTCACAAAAAGTTGGAAACGACTGAAAAACAATTGAACAACAATGGGTGATGTCATATAGCAAGATCCTCCAATATTCTTGGCGGAGACAATAAGCCAGAGATATGAAAAATTCCCTGAAACGTATCCTTCATGTCATGTCAATTGCAACACACGACCACAGTGGACAGACACTGGGCCTGGGGGGAGTTCAAATGTGGCTTCAGATACTTCCTTATTCTGATGATCTTGGGCAAATCATTAACCTCGGTGTGCTTCAGTTTCCTCAGCTGTAAAACGGGGACAATAATAGCACCTACGCACAGAGTTGTGGTGAGAATCCAATGAGGTCACATTTGTAAAGCACTTAGCACAGTGCCTGGCATACAATCGGCACTTAATAAATGCTTTTGCCATCCAGTGGTTTAACACTTATGTTTCCACCTTAGAGTTGCTTAATACTTATTGACCACCGCTGATACCATGGATTGCTGCGAATTAAGAGGAAATAAATTAAATGCCTCATAAAGGTTTACAATCTAAACATTAGCAAACCTGGCAATGTTAATGAAGGGGCGTGTGAGTATGATCTGGTTTAACAAGAGCTGGACGGGACCTCAGAGGTCATTGGATCCAAACTCTTCATTTTATAGGTGAAAAAACTGAGGCCCCAAAGAGCCGAAAAGTGGCAACGTCAGGATTTCAATCCACATCCTCTAACTCAAAATCCAGTGTTCTTTCCACTGTTGAACCCTGGCACTCTGGAGCAGCCAGAAGATGGCAGCTTCAATATTTAGCCTATTACTTCCTACTCCTGTGACCTGGGACAAGTCATTTAACTGTCTGGGCACCCTGTTTCCTCATCTACAAAGCAAAGAGTTGGACGGAGGAGCCCTGAGGGCCCTCCCTTCCTGCTCCAATTTCTATAAGTTATGACTCTTTCCTACGCAGGGGTTTATAGCACAAAATTCTGGCCAGACTCGCTTTGCTCAAAGATTATGGCTTATTCTTTCTTGTGGTGGCTAACAATTGGAAATTGAGGGGATATCCATCATTTGGGGAATGACTAAACAAGCTGTGGTATATGATTGTGATGGAATACTATTGTGTTATGAGAAGTGACAAGCAGGATGCTTTCAGAAAAACCTAGAAAGACTTACTTGAACTGATGCATAATGAAGTGAACAGAACCAGGAGTAACAAAATACTGTACAACAATCAGCTGTGAATGACTTAGCTTCTTCTCAGCAGTATAATGATCCAAGACAATCCCAAAGGACTCATGATGAAACATACTACCTGCCTCCAGAGAAAGAAGTGATGTTGTCTGAATATAGACTGAAGCATGGTATTTTTAATTTTCTTTTTTTTATTTGAGTCTTCTTGTACAAAATGTACAAAAAAAAACCCCATGGAAATGTTTTACATGGTTGCGTGAGTTACATGATAACCTATATCAAATTGCTTACCGTCTCAGGGAAGGGAAAGAAAAGGGAGGGAGGGAGAAATAGAATTTGGAACTCAAAACTTGTTTTTTAAATGTTAAAAATTGTTTTAACATGTAATTAGGAAAGAAAATAAAATGTTTTTTTTTGAAAAGATAATGGCATGTGACTTGGTAGATAAGTCTCAGGAAAATCCCTAAGGCACTCAGAGGTTGGCTGGACAATCCCTTGCCTAGAATCACACAAAAAGTGTCAAAGTCAACCCTTCAATCCAGATCTCCAAGGCTGCCTATCAATCTATTATTGATACTGTGTCTCCCATGTTTGTGGTGTGTGTTTGTGTATGTGTAGCATGTTTTAGCGTACATAAACACAACATTCTGTCCCCTACTCCAGAGATGTCAAACAGCACACTCTCAATGGGACCTGAGCCAGATTAAGACGTAGTTGGGAAATATTTAGCACAATAAATAAAGATATAATTTTTTAAAAATAGATCACATTACATTTTAAAATTAAGCCAATATGTGACCCTCAGGGATCCTTCTGTACAAAATGGTGGCCTGTTTCTATTTGAGTCTGACACCATTGCCCTACTCTGTGCTGCTTTGTAAAATAGGTTTCTAAATAGAAAATTCTGGGATACCTACCAAAATGTGGTATGCAAAACTGTAAAGAGCTCACTCACTTCTTATGCCCTGACCACTCAGACCTCTTTTCCCTGAGACACTTGTTATTCCTGCACCCCCGAGTGCTGAAGGTCAAATTCTTCCTCATCGGAGGTAGCACTAGGCAAAGAAAAACAACATTTCCCTCTGACGAATGGCATTTCAGGGATTCTGTCTGTTCAGAAAGGGACAAATCACCTGCGTCCCATGTGTTTCTATTCAAGTAATCAATATTCTTTACCATGCCTGTCACCGCAGCGATAAGTCATTCCAATGAATGAAAAGGACTCAATCTTTTTAGAGTTATCCATAAAACAAACTGGGTCATTTTCCCCTCAGTTGGCGTAGGAGGTTTTGTAGGTACTAACCTCCATATAAAACATCTGATGCTTCCCCAGTTCCTTTCTTGGCCTCAGTATTACTTAAAAGCACTTTTTATGGGTTATAGAGACTGGCCAAGTGAATTTTTCAGCCTTTGAAGGAAAGAAAGGGAAAAAAATATTATTAAGTTTTTGCTATGGGTCAGACACCATGCTAAATATTGAGAATACAAAATATAGGAATGCAAGACAGTTCCTGTTTTCAAGGAGTTTATCTATTGACAAGGGAAGACAGCCCTTATAAGGGGAGACGGCCAAGAAGGAGTGCTCTAGACAGGGACGTCAGAGGGATGGTAAGGGGAGACTTGGGGCAATGGACTGAAATGTCCATTATGGTGTCATAGACATAATTACTGTTCTTAGAGTCAGAGTCTGATGACTCATTCTCATGCCAGGTCTCCAAAGATCCTTTTGAAATATTCTCCCAAAACCCCACAGTCAGAAATGACCTCTCCCTCCTCCAAATACTGGATGTACAATAGAAAGAGTTTTGGATCTGGTAGGCTGAGGACTTAGGCTCAAATCCCTGCTGTGTCCTATTGGTTTCTCCAAGTAAGACAGGATTATGGACCATCTATTTAAACTGAAAGGGACCTTAGTGGCCACTTATTCCAACCTCTCATTATACAGATGAAAAAACTGAGCCCAAAAAAGATAAAGAGGCTTAGGCAGGATTTAAACTCAGGTCCTCGAAGTCTATTGTTCTTTCTTTTTTTCTTTCTATTTTTCTTTCTTTCAGTAATTGGGGTTAAAGGGTCACACAGCTAGTAAGTGTTTGAGGCTACGTTTGAACTCAGGTCCTCCTGACTGCAGGGCTGGTGCTCTGTCCATTGCACCGCCTGGTTGCCCCTGTTGTTCTTTCTACTGCACCACTCAGTCTCCCTTGTCTCTGTTGCTTGCGACCTACGTGACCTTGGGCAAGATGTTTAAGCTTTCTGGGCCTCATTTTCCCCATCTGTAAAATGATAGGATTGAGCTCTAAGGCCGCTTCTGGCTCTAATTCTATAATGCTGTGATTCTTTAACCCCAAAGGTCCCTTCTAGCCTTTGATGCTGTGACCCCTCCTTGCACTTTGCAATTATGCTTCATAGAATTGTGATTTGTATATCTATATCCCAAGGTCTTTGAAGGCAAGCAGAGTGCCTCATTCATCCTTGTACCTCCTACAGAGCTTGTAAATCAGCAGAGAACAGAAAGTCCTCATTTAATGTTTGTTGAATGAATTGAGGCATCAGAACCTAGGAAACTATCATTTTCCATCCGTAGTGCCGCCTCGAGTCAATTAGATTATGCCTTTTTCTCTGATGCAGAGAGAGCAATTGCAACCTCATTGTTTATCAATCTGGATCCTGGATTAAACATTTATGCTGTCTATGCAGTGAGCAGAACTGCACCAAGTCTTCCACCGCTAATGAAAATTTAATCAGAATCTGATAGCAGGGGCTTACAGCAAGCCCAGAATACCAGTTGTGTGAGACTTGGCTAGTCAATAGAGGGGATTAGCATGTTGCAAACCGCCATCTGTGCCAGCCAAATCTCTCTGCACCAGCAAGTACCTCTTGTCCCAATTTTTAATGACTTCTTTCCATTCGATGTCTTAGTCTAAAAATGGACAACGGGGTCTCCCATGAGGATCAGAGTTTCCGAGAGAAGGAATTAGATGAAATAGCCAGGAAAATTTCAGACCTTGACAAATGGAGGGAAATCTTTAGTTATCACCGGTAAGATTTTTGCATTTCTCTGAAACATGGACGACTTTGAATGTGATACCTTTTGTGTACTTGAGTAATCAACTCTTATTTTCTCTCCATGAATATCTTCCTTTACAAGTGTTCTTTGAAAACGCGTCTATGTGTAATCATCTTGTGGAAAGATGTTTCTGTAGACCCGAAAGATAGTTGCTTTGTGATTAGGAAGAAGCTCTTCACTTGATGTTTTCTCTTTCATTTGCAGGTTGGAAATCAACAGTGCAACCCATCAGGTAATGCTTTTCCTCCAAAAGTGGATTTTGTTCTTCTGTGATTGTTACTTCAAACAATCACACTGAAAACATAATCTGAGCATCTTCTATGTGTGTGGTATCATCTACACAATGGTAATATAGCTTGTGAAAATGTAAAATAACAAAGAGGCACTACTGAGGGTCTTTTCATATATTCCTTTTTTTTTTTTGACAGATCATTAAGGACTCTTCTCGCTTTTAAGAGCATTTTTTTTCCTATCACTGAAAGCAACATGTGGTTATTACTTAGAAATGATTACATTTAAAATCTGGACCCTCTACTGTTTGTGGAAATAACACTAGATTGTCAAGGCTTAATGCTTTAGTAATTTATGTAAAGTACTTTGCAAGCTTTCCAAATCTATAGAAATCTCAGTAGTTGTGGGTCAGTTTGAAACCGAAGTACATCTACATTATTTGCCCTCTTTAGTTTATCAAAGTTTTGAAAATAATAGAGGAATGCAATTTGATTAATATTTTTAAAATATTTAAACATTATTCCAAGGTAAAAACTGCAAGATGGTTTCCCTGAAGACCGGAGAGGTTAGAAAGTTATATAAAGACTTTTAATTTTTGTCTTTATACAGTTCATTCAGTTAATTCACAAACAGAAGCAACCATCAAATACTAGTATTTTTTCCCCTGCTGCTATTTGAATTTGATATTATCCGAGAACAGTGTACAATTACCATTATTATTTTAAAGAATAAGTTTCTAATTCATATTTTTAGGATAAACTTGGAATCAAGACCACATCCCAACCATAGTTTAAATTGAAATGTAGGAAATGTTGTTTGTTTGGTTATCTTAAAATTATCAGACGGAAAACTAGTTTAGACAGACAGGATTTGGAAAGCACAGAAGGGAACATTCAGAAATTAGATAAAGACATTTTTTTAAAAAAACCGAAATTTCCAATTACAGTTTTGCAGCAAGATGGTAAAAGTCCACTCCTGGGAGTGTAAAGATGCTGTCATTTGATTTACAACAAGTATTTCATCTCATCAATAACCTGTTTGACTCAGATGATGTATCTGAGAGATGAGGAAGCCTCCTTCCACTCCCCTTCGGAATTTAGAATAACTGGGAAGGCAGGTGTCTTTTTAAAGTGTCAGCCTGAATCAGGGAAAGTTCCTTTAATGCTGCCTGGACACAGAATGCATATTTGTCCAAAAATGAAGGGCCAGCGCAAAGCTACACTGAGGCACTGGAGGATGAGGTCTAGGATAGCTAGGGAGTGAATGAGCGAAAGGGCAGTTCTCTCTGTATTGTGAAGTTCTTGCCCTTACTGAGGGCGAGCAGAAGCAGGAGAGACTCTGAAAGGGTGACCCAACCACCTTACTTTGTGCGGTAACCACCAAAATAAACTGATTATGTTGAAGGAGAGAATTCAAGAGTCCTTTACAAAGATTTATTGAATGTCGCCTTTTGAAAACATTAGACAACATTTCTCTTTTTCCCTAACATAATTTCAAGCCAAGGTCTTAATACTAATGATGTTTCCATAGCTACACTTAACCTCTGTTGACACATCAAACTTGTACAAAGTCTTTTGAGAGAAACATTTATTTTTTCCATTTTTTCTGATGGGTATTCATAGCCTTTTCCACCCAGTATAAATATGCAATAACAAAGATTGCAAGATTTGAAGTCAGTGGTGTGGGTTCTGCTACTTACTTCCCCATGTGGGGAAATAGTGTGGGTATAATGAAAAGAATGGGAAGAACTCAAGGATCTGAGTTTGAATCCTGACTGTCACCTGGGTCTCTTTGAGCCAGCCATTTAGCTTTTCTGGGCCATGGGTTTTTTCATGTATAAAATGAAGGACATTGAATTGGCTGACCTTTGAGGTCATCCTCTGATGACAGAAGAGTGACAATGTCTATGGGGAGAGTGATAAACCACACATCCTAAGTATCGGGAAAGGTATAGGAGAAGAATCAGTGCCTCTCCCTAACGACCTTGGATTTATTTGTACTCATTCTGTATACACTTCTACATGTATTTGTTGTTTCCCCATTTGAACATTAAGCTCTTTGGAAGAAAGGATCATTTCAATCTTTGTATTGGTATCCCCAGAGTTGGACACATAGTAGGCAATCAATCAATGCTTGTTGGCTGATTGATTCTAAGTATAGAAAATAATGAGACATCTCTATGAAAGAGAAAAAAGAAGCTTACCTTCCCCCAAAACATATAAGGCAAAATTGACACAAGGTTTTGGGGGGTTTTTTGTTTGTTTGTTTTTGCTTTATTTTGGGGGTGAAAGGACACTCAAGAGAAACTCCGAGACTGTCACAAACCTGCTGATAAAGGCAAAGCTGGTGCAGGATCACCTCAAGACAAAGAACAAGTCCGGTGCCTGTCAAAGGTCCTTCATTCACTTCCTGAACCCTCTATCAACTCGAAATGGGGCAGCTTTCCTGTCTCCCTAGCAATGGCCATGGTGAGTACAGCTTGTTAATTAAACATGCAGTGAAATGTAATCTCTACAAAACAATGAGGCTGGGGAATCTTAGCTGGTGTCATGTGAGAGCATTATTGGACATAAGGGTTCAGAGAGTTGTTATTGGTAAAAGGAGAATATAATTAAAATGACTTATTTATGATATTTTTTTCAACACCAGTACCAGGCATACTGGGATGTTCTAATTCTCCCCTCCTAAATTCTGACAGCCTTTATATTTATACACTTTCTCAGTATGCCGTGTGCAAATTGAAATAAACTGCATGTAATTTAATGTACATACTACTGCAGACTAGGCCTTTTAGGGGAATTGAATTTTTTCAATTTTACATAACTACAAATGAGTTAGAAGGGACACATCACTCTATTTTAGAGACTCAGAGACTTTAGAGTTCATCTAGTCCTATTCCTTCCTTTTATACATGAGGAAACTGAGGACCAGAAAAGTTAAATGACTTGCCCAATATCACACAAACGGCAGTGTCGGGATTCAAACCTAGGTCCTTGGGTGACAAATCTAGCACTTTTTCCACTCTACCATGTATTACCTCTTCTGAACTTGTAGTTTTGAAGTTCCCAGTTGGATTGGAGTGCCATGACCCTATTATGACACCCACAGTCAGGGTTAGAAGAGTTCACTAGTGGGTACCATTCCTTCACTGCTGCCTTGACTCAAGAATCCATTCATGTTGATCCAGATTCTAGGTCTTTCTTACTATGTCGTGGTCATGGTGAATTAGACAAGACTACAAGATGCTTAGGATTATGGCTATGACCCTAGATTTAGATCTGGAAGACACTTTCGTGATTGTCTAACCCAGCCCCCTTATTTTACAGCAGAGAAAATGAAAATTCTCTATTTTGATTCATTGAAGTTACTTTGGAAGGCGCCTCCCTGCTTATGGAGAAAATAGAAAGAAGGCTGAATTTATAGTCAGTGGACCTGGGTTCAAATCTTCTTTTTGACCTTTACTTCCTGTATGTCCTCAGACAAGTCACTTTACTCTGCACCTTAGTTGTTCGTCTCTTAAATAAAGGAGTTGGATTCAGTGGCTTCTACCTCAACGAGCATAATCATATGATTTTCTTTCCTCATATGAAATCTCTGACGTAGCCCATGTTGAGGGATATTTTCCTCTCTCTGTTATATCAAATAGAGAAACAGCATAGCGTCCTTCATCTGATACAAACTAGCTGGGTGCCCTTTGGCAATTCACTTAATTTCACAGCAGCCAAGACAACTAACTTTCCAAAACTGTAAGTTCTAGATAAGTTGCCAATCTCCATTGGTGGAAGGAATTTCTACACCAGAAATTACCTCTAAACAATCAAACCCATAGGCCAGAAGCAGCCTCCTACCGCTACTAAAGGAAAAGCAAGTAAATTCGAGAAGCAATGATATTCAAATTCCTATACTCTGTTGACCATATAGGCTGGTGGATGCCACCTCATCCCCCCAAAAGGGCTAAAAATTAGAATAGCTCTGTAATTCAAGCCTATGATAAAGATTCTTAAAATATGCACAGGAATAACATTTAGTATATAAATGAACTCATGTCAATTAAACTGTAATGCATTTTGACGACTCTTTTTTAGCTTCATTAATTTTACGTTTGTCAAAAAGAGGAGTTAGAGAAATATGAAATGGGGATATCTATACATGAGTGCTTCCATTTGACCACAGAGGAAATCAGGATGTCACTGGAGACTTCCCCAATGACTTTGCCTAGGTCATCTTCCCCCTTAAAAAGTCAGAGACAAAAGAATCCAAAGAGGGCACTCTGAAAGTGAGCAATGGAGTATTCAGGAAATTCCAGACATCTAAATAATTGATCTTTTTCTCTTGAAATTGTATTTGGATTTATTCCCATTTTGCAAGTCATGTGATCTAGCCTTTCTTTAACCAGCATGGTCATTAATGACCCATACCCTGGGCCTCTAGGGCTATAAGCTCTCTGAGGATGACCGGGATATTCCAGAGTGGCTGGGTAGAGTGGGTATGGGGGGAGAATCTTGAAGCTTGACTGGCTCTAACTGATATTTCAGCTAGGCGTATGGTCTGGAATTGAGGCAGTCACTACATACTCACTGGAGAATTCTCCCTTGGCTAACTGCTGACTTGGGCTGTACTGTATGGGGTAAGAATACACATTTTTAATGAAGGCTGGATGTACTGGTCATTCGGAGATGAAAGAATTGATAAAGTATTCTCCCCTCCCAAGAACTATCTCACTCCTTTGTCCGGGGCAACAAATCTCTCATTCCCCCAACCTTTCCACCTCCACCACCACACCCCAACATACTAGTTTATTTTGTTTCCTAGCTCTGGGAAAAATTGAGAAATAGAAGTTAGGTCTTTGGTACCCTACTATTCTTCTATTTTTCTTTTTCTAAAAGTATTCTTCCCTGAGCTCCCATTCAGAGGCCTAGCCTATGTTCTATTCTGATGGGAACTTAGAATAACAGTGGCATTTATAAAGATGTGTATTGTGTTTTAAGGTTTATAGAGGCATATTTACTTTCATTGTCTTGTTTAAGGAGATTTTTTTTTATTTATTCTGCTTGGCCCCTAATGGAAATTGCAAAGAGATAAATTGAGATTTGATATTAATGGAAAAACCTTCTAATAATAAGTAGAATGGGCTGACTCCAGGAGTGTTACGTAGAGGGTATGCAGAGACCGCTTGTTCAGGATGTTATGAGGAGTGAATCCTCTTGGGTATGTGTTGGACTAAAATGGTGACTGATGTCCCTTCCAACTCTCAAACTCTGTGAACAACCTTATGGGGCAGATCCTCCTGATGTAACCATCCCCATTTTGATGAAGGAGACAGTGGTAGAGTGGAAAGAGTCAGAGAACTCTGAACTCAAGAAAACTTGGATTCAAACTCCACCTGTGAGCAACTATATGCATGATTATGGGCAAGTGGCTCCCTGGGTCTCAGTTTCCTCATCTGTAAAATGGAGAAGGGTTGTACTAGGTGGCCTCGCAGGTCCTTTCCAACTCTACATCTATGATTCTCTGAAAATGAGATTCAGGGAAGTTAAGGAATCTGTCCATGGTCACAATTAGTAAGCAACGAAGGAGGGATTCTAACCCAGGTCTCTCTTGACTTCAGATCCAACACTCATAGAATCAGTAAACATCTAATCTAACCCTCACCCAAAAGGAATCTCCAGTATAGCATACTCAACAAGGGCTCTTCAAGCCTCTCCTTTAGGACCTCCAATGAGAGGAAACCCACCTCTCTACACTGCTCCACAGAGATGACTGTCAACTAGCTGGGTGTCACTAATAAATATGACATATCTTGTAGTATACTTCTCACAAGAGTTAGATAACTGATCTTCCGTGGATAAGGTCCCATCTTAGAGGCAGCCAGGTGGAAGAGTGAACACTAGGCTGGACTTTGAGTCAGGAAGGCTTCAGTTCAAATCTTGTGTCAGTCAATTACTAGCTAGGTGACTCTGTGTAAGAGCCTAGGAAAGACTCTCTTGGCCTCAGTTTTCTCATCTGTAAAAAGGGGATAATAATAGTGCATGTCTCACAGGGTTGTTGTAAGGATCACATGAAATAAAACATGCAAAGTGCTTTACAAACCTTAAGCTGTTATAGAAATGCTAGCTATAATTACTACTATTATTTTAATACCTTCAGCATTCTCCAAGAGTAGAGGTTCTTTACTTGTTTCTGTCCTGGACCACTGGCACAGTCTGAAAAAGACCTCATTCCAGAATGTTTTTCAAGCATAAAATAAAACATGCAGGATTATATTGAGATACATAAGAAAAAAATTTTTTTAGGCAATTGGGGTTAAGTGACTTGCCCAGGGTCACACAGTTAGTAAGTGTCAAGTGTCTGGTCTAAGGCCAGATTTGAACTCAGGTCCTCCTGACTCCAGAGCCAGTGCTCTATCCACCGTACCACCTAGCTGCCCCAGAAAATTTTTAAAAATCAAATTCATGAATCTCAGGTTAAGAACTTCTTACTTAAAAGAATTATTCAAAGTATGGGAAACCTTCCATAGATCACTAAATCAATAATAAAAGCTAAAGTCCTTTCTAGATTAGGTGCAGGTCTTGTTGTAGAATCAGCGCTACTAGTCTATCTCTCTGTCTTTGCTATATATTTTTGAACTAAAAAATAAACAAACATACAATTTGCTGATTAAAAGATTCATTCCTCTCTCCCTTAGGGCCTACGAAAGATCCTGTTTGGAAATACAGTACATATCTTTAATCATGGCTGGAAAAAGTCATATTTCAAGTTCCAAGAACCTTCTTCAGATCTGTCCTATGCTTTGGAAATAGGAAAGGTGAATAACTATACAGTCAATAAACCAAATAAAAACTGCCATCCCATAAAATGTCCCCAGAGGTACATAGCACCCACATAAATTCATGGAGCTTACTAATACCTTTTCTATTCTTATGATCCTCCTTATTGGGATAGCTTTTCTTGAAACAGTAACACAATATGGCCCTATATTTTGACAGACCCTCACAAGATTTCAGTCAATCAATAAGTATTTTTTAAGCATCGGCTATGTGTCAGGCTGGAGAAGGAAATGGAAAACCACTCTAGGATCTTTGCCAAGAAAACCCAATGGACAGTATTAGAAAACAACAACAACATGTACCAGGCATAGTGCTAAGTGCTAGGGATGCAAAGGAAGACCAAACACAGTCCCTCTCAAGGAACTCACAGCCTACAGGAGAAGACAACATGCAAAACAACTAGGTACAAACAAGCGATATAGACGATAAATCGGAAATGACCAACAGAGGGAAAGCACTAGCATTAGGGAGATAGGGAAAGGCTTCTTGTAGAAGGTGGGATTTTAGCAGAGGCTTGAAGGAAGCCAGGGGGTAAGGATGAGGAAGGACAGCATTCCAGAGCTGGGGGACAACCAGGGAAAATGCTCAGAGTATGTTAAGCTGAGTAAGGTGGAAGAAGAATGGGAAGGTAGACTTGGGTTTTGAATGTCAAAGAGTGGATTTTGTATTTGATCATACAGAGCTGCTAGAATTGATTGAGTCAGGAGGATTTCAGATCTGCTCCACTGTCTTCAGGGGCTTGGAGGGCTAAAATGAATAAAATAAAATGAATAAAGTTCTCTTTGGAGAACTTGAATTTCATTTTGCAACAAGAAAGGGAAAGACGACTATCCACGTTCTTTTCCTTCCCACCAGAGGCAAATTCATGTGATGGAAACTGTACCACAGAAGGAAGGCTGGGAACCACAGCCTGGCTTCGGAGGAGCAATCCACCTCTTCAGACCCCTGCTTTCTCACCTACCAAATAAAGGGGTGCCACCAGGTGGCTGTTGGGCTTCCCTTCCAGCTTCCATAGTCAAATTATGATGACATTCCAGGTGGATTTGGAGGGCTCATCTGACCTCAAGAATGAGAGGATCAGGGTTCCATTTGTAGGGGGTTCCCCCCCCCTTCATCATTAAAATTCATGTCATCGATAGTAATTTATAGATAGTGTAAGAGACAAGCAACCAATTCTCCCCTACCTGTAAATGAGGTGATCAGACAAGAACATCTCTAAGGTCCTCTATTCTAAAAGTCTATGATTCTTATCCTTCTATGATAGAGCTATAGATGTCTATATATATGTAATATATATCTATATCTAGAGAGAGGGAGAGAGATACCCAGACATACACACAGACACACACAGACATACACACACACACATATATGTATATATATGTATATACATATACACGTATATATATGTGTGTATGTATATACATATACACGTATATATATATATCGTTTGATATGACAACTATTATTAACTTGGCATTACATCAGGTATCTAAATTTCAGTTAGAGATGGGTGAAAATAAACTTTGATATATATGTGTGTGTGTGTGTGTGTGTGTGTGTATTTTTCCATTCAAGTTCTCCATTACCCTCCCTTCCCATCCCCCTCCTCAATTTATCTACAGATTTAAGAATAACTGCTTTAAGTTCCTGGTTATAAGACAGTGGTCCATCTGTACTGGTGGAGGGTGCTTCCACACCAAGAAGTCAATAAACCAAAGAAGTTACAGGTCAAGACTAAAAAGTAATAATAGCAAAGGGGGCCAATTGCATTTTATTTGTTTTTCCCCCTTTTCCCACTTCTGCCTCGGTCACCCACACAAACTAATTCCACTGCTTTTACCCCTACATGGACTGATTTTATTTTATTGTCACTTTAGGGTGGGTCCAGAGCAATCCAAATGGCTGTGCAGGTGAACATCCTCAAATACCTTTTATTTACAAGGAGTGAAAAAGGCAGCGATTTTTTCAGGTAAGAAGAGAGAAAGAGATACAGAGACAGAGACCAAGAGACAGAGATAAAGAGATGGAGACAGAGACACAGACAGAGTGAAAGACAGACAGAAAGACAGAGAGAGCAAGAAAGAGACAGAGAGGGAAAAGCTCCCCATTTCACTGGGTGAGATTCCAGGTTTGCTTACTTAAACAAGCACAACCCAAAGTATAGGAGTGGGGTAGAATATGGTGCCTAGGAGCCATGGGCACCTCTGCCTCACATATGGATGCTCCAGCACCACCATTTAATTCCTCTTTCCCGTCTTCATCTCTTTCCACATTCTCCTAGGACGTGTTTCTCTCTCAAGCAAAGGAATTCTATCTCATCCTCTCTTCTTTTCAGCTCTTGACTCTTACAGTTTTGCATGGTCTTCATGGTCTGCCCCAGAGCAGCATATCTGTCAGCTGAGATTAAAAGCCTGGGTTGCCCTTTCCCAGGTCAGGTGTGCCCCTTTGACTATGGTTGATGGGACAGACAGAATGTCAAAAAAACACCACAAAATAGCCCTGGTTTGGCCACAGCAGGGGAACAAAGGCATAGGGAGCCCAGACAGCTTTGTAAATGGAGCGTGAGGGCTGTCACTTACCTCCTCGAACTTCAGGCGATAGCCCTCGGTAAGCAGCCTCTTAGTCAAGCAATGCCAATTAGCTTCCTTTAGGAGAACAGTCTATCAGCCACATCATCTTGATTTATCGAATGCCTTCTCTAAACCAGCCACTGGGATTCATGCTGTATGGGATGCATAGGCACACAGCAAGACTGTGACCCCACCCTCCAGGAGCATAATTACAATTGGGTTGAGGAGAAAAGAGAGATGCATGAAAAGATAAATATAACCAGCCATTCCAGGCAGTCTGTGTGATGAAGTGACAATGAAGTCAGTGCCACAGGAGTTAAGAAAAGGACAACTTCACTTCTGTCTGGAGTGATCGGAAAATCTACACTTAGAACAATGTCTTGAAGGCTTGGTAGGCTTCAGATAAGCACAGAGGAGCGGGAGGCATCACAGGTGGGGACCCTTGACCCAAGGTTTCATACTTACTGAACTATAAATGAAAATGATGAATCTCTGGCTCCAGACTTCATAGGCCATCCTATGCCCTATATCTTTTTTTTCCAGTCTTTTTGATGTATTTTGTTTTTACATTGCAAACCTTTGCAGATTGCTACAGGCATGTGCTGGAGCCAGCTCATACCTGGCTTTCAGATTGATTATTGAATTTTCAGTGTATTTACACCTCAGAAAATGTTACAAATCAGGGCTTTATTTTTTATTTTATTGACTGTCCAGACCTAAGAAAATGATGATAAAAAATGTTCATGAGGCAGATTAAAGTTAAAAGTATATCATGGGTACTTTGTTTAACACTTACCAACATATCCCTGAATTATCCTTTTTTCCATTCAATTGAACATTTATTAACTGCTTACTATGTGCCAAACACTGTGCTAAGCACTGGGGATACAAAAAGAAGCAAAAGATAGTCCCTGCCTTCAAGAAGCTTAAAATCTAATGGATTATCCTCACTTGGGAGAAACTCACAATAAAGTTTTTTTAATAAGTAAAACTAATAATACAGTGACCTTATCTGAAAATTCATATAACATTCCACATCTGTAGTACCTCTCCTCTATTAAAAAAACATTAATAGAATTATATTTTCTCTCTCTTTCACTCCCCACCTCATTGGGAAAACAAACTAAAACAAACAGAAAACCCCACCAAGTTTCTTGTAGCAAATGTGCACAGTCAAGCAAAAAAATTCCCTTGATGGTTGTATACAAAAACATAGAGATCTCATTCTGCACCCTGATTCTACCACCGCTCTTTCATGGATATCATGTTTCATCTTTCATCCTCTGTATTTGTCTGTACTGTAATGAACAGCTTCCCCCCCCCAAAAAAAAACAATTTAAAATTTTTACAGCAAGTGGATGCCCTGGATTCATACCCTATCTCCTCTCCTTTATCGCAGACTAGTAGAATGATGGATTTGGAGTCAGGAAGGCCTAGGTTTGAATTTCACCTTAGACACTGACTAGTGTTGTGACCTTGAGCAAATCACTTCATCTCTTTGACCCTCTGTTTCCTCAATTGTAAAAGGGGGGAAGTGTCACTGCACGTACTTCACAGGGCTGTTGTGAAGACCAAGTGATATAATGTATGGAAAATGCTTTGAATCTTTGCAGTACTGTACAAATGTCAGCAATTATTTACCCTACATTCAAGACCACAAATGTGCCTCATCTAGGACCCTTATTTGCAAGGGAAAAGAGTGCTTATAGTAATCTTTACTAATAATAAGGTTGCCTCAGACACTTATTAGCCGTGTGACCCTGGGTAAGTCGCAACCCAGATTGCCTCAAAAAATAATAATAATATAGTTTAGGTCATCAAAAGTATATCTGAAAAAATGTCTTCAGTCTCATCATGGACTGAAGAGTTCTCAGATTTCCTAAATATCTCTCCCTAGATACCATTTTCCTAGGATCCCAGGACATCCTGCCATCACTTGACCCTACAATGCTCAGTCAATCTGAGATTGGTTCAGATCCCGACATCTTGGACAAAATTCATTCATTCATTCATTCATGCAAATTGGAATTCTGGACTCATTCTCAGCCAATGATAGGTTTTTGGTGGCCCAACCACACTGTCAAATTTAACTATTAATTGTCACATCTCTTTCCCAGGAGAGTGCATCACATGTCAGGGACAGAGCATATATATATATAGTATTGGAGGTGGAGAGAGATACTTCAACTCCACAAGTTTTCAAAGCTACCTTTCCTCATTATAAGCCATTTAAGCAAAATAGCTAACAGTCCCAATCAAATACCTGCTTACTGCCCAGGGAACACTTGGGTATTCCTTGGAATCTTTTTCACTTTTTGATATAATTGCATTGCAGTTTATGCAGAACAAACTGTCGAGAACAGAAAGAGGCCCTCTCAGCAGCTCTGGTAGATAGTCTGTGGACAGCAGGGGAAAGACAAAAAGTCATCATCTGTGTCAACACATCAGAAACTTATTTTCCCTCCACGAGGGACTTCCAAGCAGACGGCTTGATTGAGCGAGTGAGTATGGATAGCTTTCATGCCTGTGATTACAATTCTCCTACTATACATCAGTACCAGTGGAGGTGACAAAGATGTTTCATTGAGTCTGTTGGCCTGGCCATTGAGATGGAGATTAAGCCAACCACGGGGCAGCAAGGAGGTGGACGTCTAATGACGATGAGAGACCCAAACCACCCCCATAAACAAGACTTCCAGGCGATGAAAGTCTGCTTTCTGGATTCACTAGCCTTACACTGGTGAAAGTCATAGCTGTTGGGTCTAGCTGCCTCACATTCTTACTGGCTATGTTTCTACAGCTACGGTCTCAAAGACAGCGCAGCTATTCCTACTAAAAATTCTATTTGCCTTTTCTACTTGAGATTTTGTTCTTGTTAAAAACAAGGAATGCAAAATTCATGAATTTGAGCAACCCACGTTTTACAGTGTGTTTTTATTCATTCATTTATTCATTCATTTGACAAGCCCTTATTATGCACATACTATCAGGCCCTGTTGATTATCTCATTACTTTCAGCCCATGCCTGTGATTTCATCTGGGTGGGAACATCTTGATGCTGCAACTTCCTCAAGTCTTCAGTAATTAAGAGAGCTGTTTTGAGGGACTAAGAGGTTAAATGACTTTTCTAGGACCACATAGGCAGTATATATGAGAAACAATTAAACCCAGGTATTATTGACTCTGAGGCCAGCCCTTCATCCACCCACCAGGCTGCCACTCATATCAAATAGGTAGCTTATCAGTTTTTTGAAATGTGTATGTGTATGTTTCTTTAATCATTATGAAGTATTAACAAGGCATTAACATGCAAGAACTAGACACTTTCTACCCATTTTTAACCTCCTATTCCTGAATTACAGCTCCAGCTATTTGAGTTTTTAGAGAAGGAAGATGCCAAGAAATTCATCTATGATCATTTACAATGGGTAAGTAAAGAGAAGATCCCTTTGTGTTGAATTATGCTTTCATTAATGCCTTATTTCTTTGGTAAAGTACATTTCCAATGAAGCTTATTAAGAGTATCATGTCATTTTGAGATCATTTCAGGGAAACACTTAAGAAAGGAAAAGCTAGTCCCTCCCTGCCCAATTCCTTGAAGAAGACAGGGCCAAGGCTTCCTTTTTCTTGGGTTCATCAGAACCTGGAGGCAAGGTTTTGATGGGTATCTAGGAAAAAAGCATAAAAAGTAGGAGATCATGATAGGACTAGAATCTATCATGTAAATGGCATGGGCCATCTTTGAAAGGATGACCCCCCATTCTCATCTCCTCTCCAGGGCTTTTCTCCTCTTTTTTTTTCCTCTTGTACATCTGTTCTGGCAGTTTTCATATAGAAGTTCAGGATTCCATGTGCAGAGGCAGTTCAGTGAGAAGTCATGGAAGAGATATGAGAAAGGAGAATCAAGGATAGGGAAAGGAAGAATGTTAACAGTAGCAATTGCAGATTCCTCAGGCTTAGGAGAAATTGATAATCAGAGCACAACTGGAAGTGAGTTCCAGCCAAAGATTCAGGAAAGGGAACATTAGATTTAACTGTGCAATGTGAAAATGGGAACACATTAACAGAAACATAATTAAACCATCAAAACTCCAGGCATGAAAACAGGGCAGCAAGGCCAGTTCTAGGAAGAGGAAAGGAAGTCTCATCACCCCCTTTTAAGGAACCCCTGGGCCCATTATCCTTTGACTGTCAACTGATTCTCCAAAGACCTCTTATTTTGGTATCTTACCCAGAGCTGTCTCTAGTGGTCATACTCTGGACCTTCCTCCCTCTCCCCCCACCCCCCACACTCCCAATCTTCTCCAATGAATGAAATTTATCTCTGCTATATCCCTTAGTGTCCTTTTCAGTCAAGTCACAACTGCTGTATCTGATAAACTAACCTGTAAAGTGTGAGATGGAAGGAAACAAGCATTTATTAAGCACCTACTATGGGCAGAACACTATAATAAGCCCTTTACAAATATCAACTCATTTAATCCTCACAACAACCCTGTGAGATAATTGCTGGTATTATCCTTATTTTACAGTTGAGGAAACTGAGGCAGACTTACCAGGGTTCCCCAGCTACTAAGTCTCCGAGGCTGGCTTTGAACTCAGGTCTTTAAGAACTACTGTTGTATCCCCTGCATGACCTAAATGCCTAGCGTAAACGTGTGGTTCCTTTCTGCTAGCATTTCAGCAGAGCCCTTGTTGAGGTCTAACAAATTGAGGCAGTTATGGGGCACAGGATAGAGTGATCGGCCTGGAGTCAGGAAGACTTGAGTTCAGATCAGCCCTTAGGCACCTAATGAGCCCTTGGAGGCCAGTTAGACCAAGGCTGTCATTGTTCAGTGAACCCTGGAGACAAGTCAAGAACTCTCTCCGGCAGCTGGTAAAGGGATTACTAGAGAACAGAAGAAGGAATAAATATTCCTTCTTCCTCCCATTCCTTTTCTCTGAAGTTGCCCTGACATCTATAACAAGCCCTCCTCAGCTTTTTCTGTCAGCATGATGAATTCTCTGGTTTGTACTCACAAGGACCTACTGCCCATTCTCCACAATGTTTCACACCAGACAATGGTTTGGCTCATGCTATATGAGTGATACAGCAGGAAAGCCTGTGTGAAATATTAAGTTGTCACTCTAAATTTTGTGAAAAATATTTCCCCAGTGAGACTCCCCCCCCACAACAGCACATCGATTCATATTTGTTAAATCCTTACTATGTTCCAACACCATTTAGGTTCAATAGAGCATATGAAAGAAATAAAAGCCTGCCCTCAAAGAGCTTACTATCTAATTGTGCAGTCAATCTGTAGATATACAAAACAACTAAAAAAAATATAAAACAGTCAAAGACTAGATTGTTTGATGACTAGAACATTATGGTGTGTAACAGCCAGGAAAGGTTTGTAGAGAAGATCTTGACTTCGAAATAAACCAGATTTGGATTGGTGAAAAAAAAAGGTTGGAAGTGAATCCCCAGTAAGGGTGTGGGGAGCATGAGGAAAGGCATGGACTGAAGGATGAACATGTCTCAGGTCAGGTACCAGAAAGGTAACCACAGGCATCACGGCAAGCCTGATTTGAGCCATGCCAAGTACTGAACCACATCCCGGGCCATCTCAAGCTCGCCCCAGCAGGTTTGGCCCTGATTACATTCATAGAGACCATGATGGAATGTGAACCCATCCAGAGGGCTCTATTTTTTTGAGTTCATGACTCTGTCCATGCATAACTGTAATGCGCTAGATGGTAAATCAGTGCCAGGCACTGTTTTAGCTGCTATACTAAGGGGATATGGTAGAATCAATTGATGATGGGTCTTAAATGCCAAGCTAAAGTGTTTATGTACGATCCTATAGACAAGAGGGAGCCAGAGAAAGTTCTTAAGCAGAATAGTAACAATACGAAAGAAGTGTTTTAAAAAAAAGAAAGTAGTGTTTTAAAAAGTTAATCTGATGTTTTTTGCATGACTGCACATGCATGAGCTATATCCAAGTGCTTGCCTTCTCAAGGAGGGGGCAGAAGAGGGAAGGAGGGAGGGAATTTGGAACTCCAAAATGATTTTTAAAAGATGTTAAATTTGTTTTACATGTAATTGAGAAAAAAATAACATTCTTTTTTAAAAAGAGAAAAAATAAGTGATACAATATGAGACAAAAAAAGTTAATCTGTCATCTGTTTGGGGTGGATTGTAGGATGGATACACTAAAGACAGGAAGGCCACTTGAAGAGGTTGTTATTTCTGTAATCCAGGTTTGTGAATTTGGGGGCCTAGATTAGAAAGATGGCAGCAGTAATGGGGAGGAATGCTGAATCTAATGGATATCTTGAAGGAAAAATAACCAAGAGGACTTGGTGACTCGCTGCATATGTGAAATTAAGAGGAAAGGCCTCAAAGACCAGGAGAATGGTCGTTGCCACTAACAGAAATGAAGAAGTAGAATGTATGCTGTGAAAGTTCTCTCCTGATCTCCACTCAAGGTGGAAGGTCAGGTCTCCAAAGGGATTATATTGTGTCTTCCTTAAGGGTCTAAGGGTAGCAGCCTTGAGGAAATATGAGGTGTTTTCTCTAACATTATAGTTCATGAGCCCCTACTAGTGCGTTTCTTCCCCTGTTTATCAGTTGATTTCAATTAGATGGACTTATTTAGTTTTTAGAAACAGGTATTTACTATGGTAGAATAAGACCTCTCTCTCCACTCCCAACAAGTCTGTGACACACAGTCTCACAAGCACCTATGAAACCCAGGAGAAAGCAGGCTTAAGGTTAGCGTGCATGCGGTAATGCACCCAAACCCACAGGTTCTGTAAGTCGTTTTGCTGGCATCCTCCTTAGGTAGGGCATTGTTTTTATTTAGTGTCTTGTAGAGCATTGAATCTATCTTCACTCATTCAGTTGAGTTTATTCTCAGCTCCTGATTCAGACACTGTTGCCAGCTGCTGCTACACCAGGGATTCTGGTAGGACACCAATGAAAAGCCTGAATCTTCTGGTCCTTGAGGGCTCAGGTTACAACACTCTCTTTCTTTCCAAGTAATTCCTTCTGGGGTTTGGGCAGGAGGCTTCCACCATTAACTGCTACATGTTCAAATACTCCAGTTCCAGACTAACCTCCTGGTTTTTACAAGCCCCACGGGGTATGACCAAATCCTCCAACCAATGGGGACAAATTTACTGTTTAAAAAGTTCAAGCCTTGTTCATATCCAATTCAAACCTCTGAGTGATTCAGTCAGATGTGTTCTTACCTGATAAAGGTATCAGGGCTAAGTGGGGAGGGGTGATTGTAACCCCATCTCCTTGGTAGTATAGCTGATTTAATACAGACAATGACCTAAATTTCAACTGGATTGAATTTGACATGACAGCAAGCCATTTAAATAGATACCTTGTAGGAAACTTTTCTTGTTTCAGATTTAAAATAAATGGTTTCCTTTGAGTAACTTTAAAAAAAATTTTTTTTTTCTTTTCTCTAATAGTTCAAAGGGGAAGGAAGCCATGGAGTTATCTTATTTCTTTACAGTTTGCTCTTCTCTAGAACATTTGAAAGGTAAAAGCTATAATTGGAGAACTTTTGCTCAGATCTGTGCTATAGGGTCTCTTGCCATACAACATTAATAACATTAATTTGTTCTTGTACCAGGAAGAACCTTGTATCTCCACATGAGAAACATCACAAAACACGTACTTTGCAGATTTCTTTCATGGAGAATAGATTTTTCTATGTTTCAGATATTTCTACAGAAGTTCTGGTTATATTCATTCATTCAACAAGCATTTATTAATTTTTAAAAATTAATTTAAAATACAGATGAACAGAAAACTATTTTCTCTCCATCCCATCCCTACCCCACTGGGGGAAAAAAGAAAAATATAAGATCCTTTTAACAAATATGCATAGTCAAGAAAAACAATTCCCTCACTGGCATTGGCAAATAGATAGATAGTTACACACATGCACACACACACATGTGCATGCATGCGTGCACATATGTACACACACATATATGTATATATGTATCATTCTGTACCCTGAGTCCATCAACTTTCTATCAGGATATAGATTTCATGCCTCATCACTGGTCTTCCGGAATCATGGACGATCAATGAGTTGATCAGAGTCCTTTTAGCTTTCCAGTATTGTTGTTATTGTATAAGTTGTTCTCCTAGCTCTGCTCATTTCACTCTTTATCAGTTCCTACAAGTCTTTAAAAATGTTTTTGTATATTGATGCTATAGTATAAATTTTTCTGATTCTGCTCACTTCATTTTGTATCAGTTCATACATGTCTTCTCAGATTTCTCTGAAACTATCTCTTTTATCATTTCTTATAGCACAATAGTATTCTACTATATTCATATTCTGCAATTTGTTCAAGTATTCCCCAATTGATAAGCATGTCTTAGTTTCCAGTTGTTGGGTTGTTGTTGGGTTGTTTGTTTTTGCCACCACAAAAAGAGTTGCTATAAATATTTTTATACACACAGACCCTCGTCCTCTTTTTTTTTATCTCTTTGGGATGTAGGCCTAGTAGCAATGATATAGCTGGGTCAAGGGGCATGCACTACTTGGTAACTTATTGTTTATAATTCCAAATTGCTTTCTAGAATGATTGTGCCCATTCACAGGTCTACCAACAGTGCATCAATGTGTTTGTTTTCCCTTAGCCCTTCTAACAGCTACCATTTTCTCTTTTTTGTCTCTTGAAAAAAGAAATAAAAATCAGCTGGAAACTAAATAACTTCATCCTAAAGAATTGGTGGGTCCAAAAATAAATCATAGAAATAATGGACAATTTCGTTAAAGATAATGACAACAATGAGATGGCCTACAAAATGTTTTGGGATGCAGCCAAAGTAGTCCCTAGTGGAAAATTTATATCTTTAAGTCATTTTATTAACAAAAAAGGAGAAAAATTTATCAATGAATTGGCATGCAGTCAAAAAATTAGAAAATCAAAAGGCATTTATGAAATATTTACTACATATTAGGAACCATACTGGGTGCTGGGTTACAGAAATGTTAGTTGTACACATTAGAGAAGGCTGTGATACTGCAACACAATGACTTTGTCTTGAGGTGTAAAAACCAATATGCCCCCCCCAAAGCTTATTTTACATAATCTTAATAAATATACAACTATATTTATATCATCATCAACAACAAGAAATATTTAATCTCTCTTACTATCATAGGTGCTGTGAGGGATACTAGGAAATATAACACAGCCCGTGTCCTCTAGGAGCTTACACTCTAGTTGGGAAATTGATACAAATACTTGAAAAGATATATGGGATGGTACAATGGAAATAATAATAGCAACTGGTATTTATGCAGTACCTTGAAGTTTGCAAAACCTTACATACATCATCTCATTGATGCCATTCTGTAGGTAGATGCTATTCTTATCAGCACTTTATAGATTAAAAAACTGAAGCTCAAGGGTTTGAAAAGTGATCACGCAGCTATTAAATATCTGAGGTATCATTGGAACCCAGGCCTTTCTAACTCCAACTTACAATGCTATACAGCTTCTTTTTTAAAAAATTAATTTTTAAAAAATTTAACATGATTTGAATTTGCATAGCATTTTGAATTTTTACAAAGCACTTTATGTGTGTGTATCCACATATATGTATATAGGTATATACATATGTGTTACATCTGTGTTGTATATACACATGTGTCTACCTATATGTATATATAAATATAATATGTGTTGATTGTACATGTGTAGCTTATATCAAATTGCATGCCATCTTGGGGAGGGAGGAGGGGAAAATTTAGAATTCAAAATCTATAAGATTTTATAACTCTATAATTAAATATAAAGTAAATGTTGAAAACCACAAATAAATATAATACGTGTTTATATGTGCCATGCCTATATGTATATGCGTATATCTACATATATTAAAAATCTCATTGGAGTCTCACAACTTCTGTGAGAGGTAGTTATTATCTCCCAGGAAAAAAATGTAGGATTTGGTGACAGAGGATTGGTGGGTTTGAATCTTAACTCTTCTACCTGTTCAGGCTTGAATATTCATTGAACTCTTCCAGACTTTGGTTTTCTCATCTCCAAAATGAGGGAATGGGTCTGGATGAGCATTGCACAAAGGCCCCTTCTAGAGTTATGGCACTGACTGTCTCTGGGAGTCAAAGCTGAGTCCAGTGCAAATCCATTTCTGACACTTTCTGTGTGACCTTGGGCAATTCACTTAACATCCCTATACCTCAGTGACCCCAATGGTAAAATGAAGGGATTGGACTGATCAGCCTCTAAGGTCTCTTCAAATTAGAACTATAATATAGAACTATAATTCTATGATACTAAAGATTATTAGCTATATATATATCTGTGTATATATGTGTATATATATATATATTACATATATATATATATATACACACACACACACACACACACACACACTCATACACACATATATATAGTGAGTCCTAAAGGAATGTTAAGGAATGTTACAGACAGGGAGTGCTATAGAGTTTCAGGGGCAGGAGAAATCTTTTCGTGCTGACTCCTCCATCACCACGTGCCTTAGAGAGGAGCCTTGTTAAGACAGGCAAGAATTTGATGGGTGGAGAGGGGAGGACACCATTCTAAGTAAGGTGAATACCATGAGTAAAAGCACAGGAACCAAAACATGACTAAAGTAGATTGGCTGGCGAGGAAAATTCTTGTAGGGTAACCATGGGAGGCATGGGCAGGGGAAAGGGTCTAGATATATTTGCTCTAAACGTAATACTCCCCTAATGGACCATCTCATTTCATAGGCTTCAGAAGGACCTGGATATCAGCACAACTCATCTGTTACAGGCACAGGGTGGAGATCTCATTTGCAGGCAGGTGAGTTTAGAGGGGCTTCTTTCTTATTAGTTTAAAGTTGTCTAACTATTCTCATTTTCTAATGTGATTCAATTCTACTATTCAATAGAATGCAAACTCCCTGTGGGCAAGAACTATGCCTCTTTTTTTTTTTTGGCTTTGTAGACACATTGGATGGGTGGTATAATGCCCCACACCGGGACATAATAAACAATTTGTAATTGCAATAGTTCATAAACTGTAACAAATATTTGTTGAATTTTAATTAATTGTAAAGAATCAGCTGTGGAAAAGCACTTTGCTAATAGCTATTGATAGAAAGATGAAAGTAAGCTTTCACTTTAGGGGAAAAAAAGCTTTAGCTCTTTTTTTTCAAGGCAGTAGTTCTTAAAACATCAGAATGCAGCAAATTATATGGAAGTTAACACCTACAATTAATTGCATGCATATGCATGAATTTCATGAATTTTATGAAATTTATATTTGTAATTGCATGTGTATGGACATGTCTCCTGAAAATTATATAGAATTTTTACTTGCAGCAGCATTTTTTTAATTTTCAAATGTTTTTTCCAATAACATGTAAGAAGTATATATATATATGTATATATATGTATATATGTATATATATGTGTATATATGTATATATACATTTTGAATTCCAGATTCTCTCCTTCCCTCCCTTCCTCCCTCAATGAAAAGGCAAGCAATTTGATGTAGGTTATACATGTGCAGTCATGAAAAACATATTTCCATATCATTCACATTGTGAAAGAAAACACGGGCAAAAAAACCCATCAACTCAACCAAGAAAAATAAAGTTTAAAAAAAATATGTTTCAATATGCATTCAGACTCCATCAGTTCTTTCTCTGGGGATGGATAGCATTTTTCATTATAAGTCCTTTGGAATTGTCTTGGGTCATTGTATCACTGAGAATAGCTAAGTCATTCACAGTTGATCATGGTACAATACAATAGGATTTTATGCACAGAACTGAATCTCTCCACTCTCCACTGTCCTGAATCTTTACTGCCAAGACTAGTGTTATGGAGGAATGGTTGAATAAATTAAGGTAGATGAATTTAATAGGATATTGTTATGCACTAAGAAAAAAAAATGAAAGGGACAGATTCAGAAAACCCTGGAAAGATTTATGTGAACCAATGCAGATCAGAGTGAACAGGATCAGGAGAACAATTCAGACATGACTGAAATATTGCTTAAGGAAAAAAAAAGTTTTGAAAGACTTGAGAATTCAGATCAGTGCAAGGACCAATGACAACTCCAGAAAGCTAAGGGTCAAGCTGGCTTCCCGTTTCCCAGAGAAGTGACAGAATTGTAGGTGGAGAATTAGATCTTTTCATATGCAACCAATATTCAAATTTGTTTTGCTCAATTATGTTATTTGTCACGAAGGAGGGCTTTCCTTTGAGGGAGGATGGGAATGAGGAGGGCAATGTATTGATGCCAAAAATAAGAAAGCAAGGAAATGAGTGTTTTAAAAATGCATAGAAGAGACAACAAGGAATTTCAGAAGGGGATACAGGCAGGCACAGAACTGTGGGTACTACTGTATTAAATTTAATACATATTTTAAAAAAGCAAGTTGTACATAAAAATAGATTCATGGTTTCATTTATAATTGTCTCTCTTCATTCTCCTTTGTATATGGAAATATTCATGTCTGTTGATGCTTGTCAAGTTTAGAACAACTTTAAAAAAAGAAAAAAAATACTGCAATGAGCCCCCCCCACCAAAAATGTTTAAGAACCCCTGACATAGACCCTATCTTTAAAGAGCTTATAACCTAATAGAACAGATGAGTTACGTAAGTACTTATAATGCAAGGTAGAATATAAAAACTACAATGGAACAGCCCAAGTGAAATCCTAAAATACTTTTTAAAAAAATGAATGTTTAAATAACTTTATTGATTATGTACTATTTTACATACAATATCTCATTTGAGTTCCCAGCCTTATAGGTGAGGAACCTGAGGCAAATTAACAATGATAATAATAATAATAATATCAGCTAGTATTAATATAGCACTTCAAAGCACTTTACAAGTACTGTGTCATTTTATCCTCACAACAACCTTGGGAGGTAGGTGTTATTATTATCATCCTTATTTTACAGATGAGGAAACAGAGACAGACAGAATTTAAGTGACTTGACCAGGATCACGCAGCTGTACCTTTGGAGGCCAGATTTAAACTCAAGTCCTTCTGACCTCAGTTTCAGAGCTCTATTCACTGTACCACCTAAGTGCCTACCTAATGATAGAGTTAATAAATGGTAGAGGTGGGGTTTGAATTGAAATCTCTGCTGACTCCAGCTCTAGCACTCTTTCCAGTAAACTTCATTCTACCTCCAACAGGAGGGACTGGAGGTAGCTTCAGGAAGGCAGTGATCCTTGAGTTGGGCCTTGAAGAAAGGGAGGATTTTAATAAACAGATATGGGGATAATGGGTATTCGTAGCAATGAGCAAAGGCACCAAGATGGTAGAAGGCAGAACAGAAATGTGTGTGGATAAGGAGTCCAGTCTGGCTATGAGATAAAGCTGGAAACACGGTCTAGAGCTGACTGTGGAGTAGTTTGAATGCCCAGCTAAGAGATTTTATATTTTATATGGAGGCAATGGGGAGCCACTGAAGATTTCCAGCAGGAAGAGGAAAACGGTCTGTGAAGAGTAAGGGCCACTGGAATAAGGATGGATTGAAGAGGCAAGAGGACTTCTTAGGAGGCTATTGAAATAATCTAAATGAGAAGTAGAAAGGGATTGAACTAGGGTGGGGTCAGTGGGAGTGGAAAAGAGAGGCCTGGATTTGAGAGCTATTTCAGGAATACATACCAACTCCATGACGGACTTGACTATTTATTTGATGAGGGTGGTAAGGAAGAAGGATGAGTCAAAAACAGTGCTATGGTTTCAAGGCTGACTGGGAGGTAATCATGCCATCAATGAAAATAGAAGTGAGGGGGAGGAGCAGGTGTTTGGTTTGAGGGGAGATGAAAGAAGAGTGAATTGTTGAAATAGTAAAGATATTACATCCTTCGTACCAGTGTTAACAACATTCACTGGGGGGAATTGAGTGACCTAAAGTGGAGATGAGCTTGAAAGGAGGTTTGGGAAAAGTAGAAGGACAAGAGATCAGAGAAGGGCATCTCAGAGCCCTTGATTTTGGAGATGGAATAGCTTTGAGGGATGGTAAGCTTTAAGGTATTTCAGTGAACTGTGAGAACAGGCTGTTAGAAGAATGAACAGCTTGGATATTAAAATCTCTGAGGTTGCTGGCAGAGAAAGGGTTCAGGGGGATTGTAAATCAGGTGAAGAGTCACTGAGACAGGTGACTCGCAGGTGATAGTAACAAGGATCAGGGGCCTAAAGCTCAAAAGCAAAGAGGCTGTAGAGTATTTGAGTATCGGAAATGGCAACTGGGGTCAAGAAATACACTCCTTCCTCTTCCTCCTGACTTCCTGAATCAAGGATAAGCAGCTAAATGAGTCGCCATCCATGGAGAGGGTTGCCAGAGATGTATAATGCTCAAGAGATGACATTCCAGTTAATAAGAGGAAGGAGAAGGGGAGCTGTAGAGGAAAAGGAAGAGATGTAGGATCAGCAGGAACGTAGTGGAATGGAGATCCCAAAAGGAAGCTCTGCAGGAAGGGTGGACAGAAGAGAAGTATGAGGCAGGGGAAGGTTGGAGTAAGCAGAGTTGAGAGTATGGACAGGAGGAGATACCAGAAAGAAGGGATTTGTGCCTAGTGTGGTGTGCCTACGTGGCAAGGATTAGGGGAGTTAGAAGCTAGAAGAGATGCAGGGGGGTGTATAGTTTGGAAAGGATTCTGACCCTATAACTAATCAGAACCTGGGATAACTAAGTGGAAACCTAGAGAGGGGGCATTTATGGTACCTTAGTTATAGGGGAAGGAGAATGCCAAGCAGGCAGAGATGATTAATGGAGGAACTTGTAGAATTAATTAAGCTTATCTCTTCCATCTAATGGTTCCTACACCACCCCTATCGTAACAAGAAAATTAGCAAGGTGCAGGAGAAAATGTAATGGATTTCAAGTAAAGGGACCTGAACCCTGGTTTATCACTTAAGTCCTGTGTGACCTTGGGCAAATCACTTTTCTTTGGGCCTCAGTTCCTTAAAATAAGGGGTTTAGATTAGATGGTGTCTAAGATTCCTTCTAGCTCAAGTCTATGATATCCCAAGATAAGGAGTTATTTTGAAAGTGTTCTAATAGCATACAATATATGATATGGGTGGAGATAATTGAGTTAAGTTCTTTTCAAATATAATACATTTTAAAGTGCATACTACATATAATGTTTTCCTGGTTCTCTTACTGCTTTTAATAACCTGTATGGAAATCCCTAAGGCAGGTGGCACAGTGGATAGAGAGCTAGATCTAGAGTTCAGAAAAACCGATTCCAAATCCAGCTTCAGACACTTACTAGCTATGTGACCCTGGGCAAATCACTTAATCCTGTTAGCCTCAGTTTCATCATCTGTGAAGTGAGCTTTCTATAAAATGGCACTCTGAGGTACCACATCACACCTATCAGATTGGCTAACATGACAAAACAGGAAAACGATAAATGTTGGCGAAGATGTGGGAAAATTGGAACCCTAATGCATTGTTGGTAGAGTTGTGAACTGATCCAACCATCCTGGGGAGCAATGTGGAACTATGCCCAAAGGGCTATAAAACTGTGTATACCCTTGAATCCAGCAACACCATTACCCCAAAGAGATCATACAAATGGGAAAAGGACCTACATGTACAAAAATATTTATGGCAGGTCTTTTTGTGGTGGCAAAGAATTGGAAATGGAGGGGATGCCCATCAATTGGGCAATGGCTGAACAAGTTGTGGTCTATGAATGTAATGGAATACTATTGTGCTATAAGAAATGATGAACAGGAAGACTCCAGAAAAACCTGGAAAGACTTATATGAACTGATGCTGAGTGAAATAAGCAGAACCAAGAGAACATTGTACATAGTAACAGCCACATTATGTGATGACTGATTTTGATAGAGTTGGTTCTTCTCAGCAATGCAAGGATCTAAGACAACTCCAAAAGACTCAAGATGGAAAATGCTGTCCACTTCCAGAGAAAGAACTATGGAGTTTGAATGCAGATGGAAGTATATCGTTTGCTCTCCTTTTGTTGTTTTGTTTTATTTCTTCTTTCCCGTGGTTCCCCCCATTATTTCTAATTCTTCTATACATCATGACTAATGTGAAAATATGCTTAATATGAATATATAAATAGAGCCTATATCAGACTGCATGCTGTCTTGGGGAGGGGGGAGGAGAAGAAAGGGGAGAAAATTAAAACTCAAAATCTTATGGAAGTGAATGTTGAAAACTAAAACTAAATAAATAAATTATTGGGGGAAAGAAAAGAAAGAAATGGCAAACCATTCTAGTACCTTTGCCAAGAAAACCTCAAATGGGGTCACAAAGAGTCAGACAGGATTGAAATGTAAGAACAAAAAAAGAAAGAACAACAACAACAAAAAAATGGAAATCCCTTAAATGAGACCTGCTCGAACTCCTTGGGAACCAAAAGACTGTTTGCTCTAGAAGAGTCTAATCCTTGGCTTTCTTCAGTCACAACCACAGAAGCCAAAGTTATCAGAAGCAAATAAAAGCCTCCATCTTGCTGCTGCCTACAAATAACCGTCTGTGGCATGTTTCTGTCTAGGCAGTTCTAAACCTCATATTAACAGGACGAGCAAGTCCCCATGTCTTCAATGGCTACCAGCAAGGAAGTTCTCAAGACCTCCTGCATGGAGTCCTGGCCCGCAGCGATGTAGGCTATTTACGATGGAAGAAGGACAGCAGGGAGCAGCCAAACCTGTCACAGGTGAGAAGGGTTTTAGGGGACTGCAAGCTTCATTTGAGTCGACAGCATCATAGAACAAAACAAAAACAACCAAAAAGAGTTCATGAATTTGGGGCTGTATCAGGAAAGCCATCGCTTCCTGGCAGGGGTGTGCTAGAGCTCCCTGAAACTGGTTCCCGAAAGCTAACTGTTGAATTGTGAGTATGAGTAATATACCTCAGAAACTGGCAAATGCTATAGATCAGGGCTTGATTTATTATTTTGTTGATCTGCTATTCTTAAGAAAGGGTTAATAATGCAGATTCAACTTAAAAGTGTGTCTTGTATATTTTTTGAGAGTCAGTTGTTAAATATTTAACAACACACCCTTGCTTAAAGATAAGGAGGTCCTAAGCCTCCTGTCCTGGTTGGATGACATGTAGAACATTGTGTTCAGTTCTGGCCCCACATTCTAGTGAAAGACATTGAGAAGATGGAACTCAATCAGAGAAGGGTAACCAAAAGAGTGAAGAGCCTACAATTTTTCTATAGAAGGGCTGGTTGAAAGAACTGCAGATCATTCCCCAAAAGAGAGAGGATGAGGGGACAGAGAGGGCCATAATCAGTCTTTTTTTTAAAATAATATTTTATTCCCAGTTACTTATAAAAACAATTTTTAAACTTCATCTCTTAAAATTTTAAGTTTCAAATTCTCTTCCTCCTTTCCCTCCCTGCTCCCTGAGATGGTAAGCAACTTAATATAGTTGTACATGTGCAATTATGCAAAACACATTTCCACATTAGTCATGTTGTAAAAGAAAACACAAACCAAAAAAATGAAAAAAATAAAGAAAATGAAAAATAGAATGCTTTGATTTGCATTCAGACTCTGTCAGCTCTTTCTCTGGATATGGATAGCATTTCTCATCATAAGTCTTTCAGAATTGTCTTGGATCATTGTATTGCTGAGAATAACTAAGTCATCTCCAGTTATTCATTGTACAATATTTTTGTTACTGAGTACAATGTTTTCCTGGTTCTGCTCACTTCACTTTACTTCAGTTTGTATAGGTCTTTACAGGTTTTTCTGATATCATTGTGCCTGTCATTTCTTATATCACAATAGTATTCCATTACAACATGATCAGTCTTTACACCATTTGAAGGGCTGTATGTGGAACAGGGTTTAGGCTTACTCTGTCTGACCCCATAGGCAAAAAAAAAAACAAGAACAAAGGGTGAAGGTGAAAAGAGGCAAACAGGTTTGAAAAATTGGCTAATAATTAGGTTGATTCAAAAGTGGAGTCAGGAAGTACTGCGGTAAGCAGTGAGTACTTCCTTCTTGGAAGTCTACAAGCAGAGTCTGGATTTCCATCTATCAGTGGGGATGCAAGCTGGATTCTTTTTCAGGTGTGTGTTAGACTACATGGCAGCTGTGGATCCAAACAATTGCAAAATTCTGTGACTTTGACAGTTTATTTGGATTTCTCAAATATATAACTCAAACATTGATACTTTGGTACTATTCTATCATTCCCCAAGGCATATGATAGCTAATATTTTGATAACATACTTCTTCAAAAGGATCTTTGTGGTTCAGCAGGCAAAAATGCGTGCCTAGCTACTAGCCTATTTTTTAAAGTCAGAGCTTTTAAAAAAAATCACCAAAGTATGTAGCCTCCCTCTCAGAATTCCTCATTCATCCAACTTCCTCTCCAAAGAGCTTTCCAGCTGTGATTATTTACAACATCTGGCAAGATAGAAACTAAAAATACAGCTAAGAAAAGTCTAACCATCGAATTAAATGAGATGTGATTCTGCAATGATGAACAGTCTCCATAGTGCGAATGTAAACACACAAATGCTAAACAACTGAGAAAGAGGTTTCTCTGTTTTCATAAGAGCATCTCGTCTCAAAATTCACAGATGGTGAGCCAAGTTATTTGAAAAAGAGGGCTTCACAGACGCTGTCCACTCATAACCATCTGGGACAGCAGAGCTTAGGCAAAAACACTGAGGACACACCCTTGAACAGAATACCTCTTGAGTTTTCCACTGGACTCTTCCATCCCCAGCACCCAAGGGAACAAATAATGAGCATTCTCTTTAGACTATGACCGTAGAAATGCATTTGTCTCCACAGCAGGCCATCAGTGCATCACCTGCTCTGATGGCTGTGTGGGATGCAGAATTGCCTATAGAGGGAGCAATTTCCGGGTTTAAGTCTGCTTACAGAGATGTAAATTAGAGGTATTCAGTTTAGTCACCATTCCACCCAGCGTAGCTTACTGCACAAGTCTGACTTCCATTCCAATTTGTTTCCTCCACTTCTTTTCTAAGCCCAAGCTTCCTCCTCGCTACCATCTTTAGATTTGGTCTTTGAGGGAATGGAATCCTTTCTGGCCAGACTTTCTGCATAATCCCTAGTTTCAAAGTCAAAACTTTATCTTCTACCATCATTGGATCCCTGTCAGACTTTACTGGACAGATCCCTTTTCCAGCACCTGATTAAGTTCTATTAAGGTTTAATCCCAGACACAAATATTTTAGAAAATAATAAATAGAATATACAAAAACTTTTCTTGCTGTTATTCAGTCATTTCAGTCATGTCCAACTCTTAATGACTCTGTTTGGGGTTTTCTTGGCAAAGATACTGGAGTGGTTTGTCATTTCCTTTTCCAGGTCATTTTACAGATGAGAAAACCGAGGCAAACAAGGTGAAGTGATTTGCCCAGGGTCACACAGCTAGTAAGTGTCTGAGGTCTGATTTCAAGACCAGTGTACTATCCACTCAAAAAAAAATAATAAATTTAAAACATTTTTAAAAATCTCACCATCTTCTTTCCCATGAAAAGGGAAAAAAGCAGGATATTAGAAGTCAAAGTCATAACTAGGAATTATAGCACCTGAAACAAATTTGGTTTTTTGGTTGTTTGTTCTTAGTTTGGGGGGTGGGGGAGGGGGATGGGTAAGAAGCAGCATTGTCTAAGGAACAACCACTCCACGGATGTTTGAAATAGATTGGAAATCGCAATCATGGGAATTAAGGGATCTGAGACCTAGAAAGCCAGAATATTCTACGAGGGGCAGAGGAAGACTCTACAGAGAAAGAAGAATGATTTAATGGTCCATAGATGACAACAACAAAGATCTAGACTGGATAAAGTGAATTTTAGAGGGTAAGAGATTATAGTTACTTATACTTTACTCGGTTGCAAAATAGCTGAAGTCTATAGTTTTCTATACTGCATATGTTATATATATATATAGTATACATATATCATACAGTATATGTCATATAGTATATATAATAGATGATATATAATCATCTATTGTATATATTATATATTACATATATTATCTATTTTATATTGTATACAGTCTATATTTCTGTATGTTTCAGTTATCACCAGCCCTTGCCTGAGTCCCTGCTGAGTGATTGTAGAGAGAGAGGTTCTGAAAATGAGTGTTATGCCAAGCCCTCTTTCTGATCCCCGGTTAGGGTGTGTGAGATAAAGAGAAGCCAGTTTTGGAAAGGGCACCAAGAGACATGGTGTGTCTGGGGGAAAGTCAAGTTTTGAGGAGCACTTGAAAAGAGAAGGAATCTGTGAGGAAGAGATCTGAGATCATGGAATCATTGATGTAGAGCTGGGATGAAGATCCCATTCTCATTTTACAGATGAGAAAACTGAGGCCCAGAGAAGTGAGTTGCACAAAGTAGCAAAAACAAGATTTTGTACTTGGGTCCTCTGATTTTAATCTACTGCAAAAATATGGGAAAAGGTTCTCAGAGGGCATAGAGTGAAAGGAGAGCAAAAGATAGTGACCAGAGGGAGGGGAGGCGAGGCTCATGCCTGTTTTTTGAGGGCCACTCTAGGGACGACCACACTCACTATAGCCAGCAGGGACCTGAATGTGTCACTGATGTTCTCAGCTGATCTTGAACTGTTCCTGAGCATCCAATATACAACTAGTTATGGTTAGCTGGTGCTGGAAGAGATTGGGTCTGGAGTAGGGTTCATCAAATCCCCTATCCTGGAAAGGGAACCCTCCCCAGGAGTGTTTTTGGTTGTCTTATCCTATTTTCATCTCTTCTAAAAAGCAATAAAAGTGGACAAGAATACACCCAGCCCAGTGCGCCATTGCAGAGCCTTTCTTTGTGAAGGGACTGAGTGTCCTATGATGAGAAAGCAAACTGGATTTGGCATTAAAGGACTGGAGTTCAATTCTGATTCTGCCGACTTTAGCGATTAGACTTTTGGGGGCCTCATCTGACAATCAAAGGTGTCAGACTCTGATTCCCAGGATCCAGCTCAAAATCCATGATCTCCCTTGTTCCTTACTCCCTGGAAAAACATTTGGAATGGATGCAACCCCCTTCTTCAACTTTTGGCTTCTGCCACCGGCTTCAGCCTGGATGCTCCCTACCTTCCCCCTACAGGGAGACAGTGGAGGCTTTGATATCATATCATAGATGGGGGAAAAAGGTAAAGGTAAAATAAAAATAATCCCAAATACAAATATTATTGAGCTCCAGCGTTACGACCTCTCTGAAAGTCAATACAAACTTCCAGGGTTAATGAGCCTGTTCTGTCTCATCTAACCAACATATTGCTTGTAATCTTGCCTCTGGAGAACATGACAATAATATTAACATAATAACTAACATCTATATAGGTCTACAAAGCACATTAGATGTGTACATACATGTATATATGCACACATATATGTGTATATACATAAATATGTCTGTATGTGTGTGTATGTGTGTGTATATATATATATACATACATACATATATACATACACACACACACACACATACATATATATATATATAATATTTGATCCTCATCACAATCCTGTGACAAAGGTGCTATTTTTACTTTCATTTTACAAATGAAAAAGCTGAGGTTGAGAGATGCCCAGACTCACAAAGCTGGAACGTATCTGAGAGGATTCGAACTCAGGTCTTCTGACTCTATAGCCAGTGTCTATCTACTCCAGATGTCCCTTAATTTTCAAGGGCCATGCGGCTCCC